TCTATTACCAGTTTACAAGACCTCTTATCTTAAGAAATCATTCATTTAACATTATGAAATCGTTCATATGACCCCACGAACTACTCAAGCCGCGGGCCCCATGACTGGACAAGCCATGAGGTTTCATGACTAGACAAGCTATGGATTCCATGGACAGGACAAGCCAAGGATTTCCATAAACTAACAAGCCATGGTTTTTAAAACAATTTTCTTTCGCAAACCAATCCCTTTCTTTAAAACACTTTCAAGGACAAAATTTTTTTTGAAAACAGGCTCACAAGGAAAAGGAATAGAAATCCTACCTCTCACAATCAAACCTGGGACTAGCGTTGCCCTTTTCCAGCTTCCGCTTCCTCAAGCCCCTTCAGTCTGAATCCACAGCGAGCACTGATACAAAACGACACTTTAGGATCAATTCTCAGTCCTAAAGTAATCCAATCTCAATCATATACCAAAATTTCCTATTAGTGTGCCCTAATCCATTTTAATGTTTCACATTATCATTCCAAGGGTTTTCAATCTCAAAACAAGGATTAACAATGCTAATCCATCTATCTCAAGTCCCCAAATGAAGCTAATGTGGGTTCTCCCCGAAAACAGGGGTCAAAACAGCGATTTCAGGCCAAACAGGGTCAAACCCCGTGTCAACCGGACCGGTGACAGATAAGTGCCACCGGTCGGCCGGTGGTGTGCATCCGGTCGACCGGACCGGTCGGCCGGTGGCCATAACAAGATCCGGTCGACCGCAGTGGAGAACGCCAGTTCGCGAAAACTCACGGAAATCAGTTCAAAAACCTGCAAATCCAGTCTCAAGATCTCCAATTTCTACCTTAGTTTTACTCAAAATCCGTTTTGAACCAAAAATAAGTTTTGAAATCCGAAAAACATAGATTCAAGAGAGGTTCTTTCAGTAATCTTACCTCGAATCCTTCTCTTAACATTGAAAACTCTTTGAAATCACTCTTGGTTCGAATCCGGTTTTGATTTGAGACACAAATGAGAGAGAGAGAGGGAGAGAGAG